GGATGGATGGATGGATGGATGGATGGATGGATGATGGATGGATGATGGATGGATGGATGGATACCCTGTTTAATTTCACTTTTCCTTTTTGACAAGAAGACTTTCTAGTAAATCTTGGCTAAGCCATCTTTATCTATAAGCACTCTGAAAACAGCGCAACCCAAAGAAGTGCTGAATTATATTTCAAATATAAGCTGTTAAAACCAGTGAGGTCAAGTACAAATACTTTGTTACCTTATTTAAGTAGAAATTTTATCTATCAATACTTTACTGGAGTAATTATTTTCTAGACAACTTTTTAATTCTCCTCCTTACATTTTTTTTGCAATGATCTCAACTTTCTACTCCTTACATTTAAAAAATAGACTCAATAGTTTTTTTTTCATTGAAGCCCATTAACGTAATGTCTTGTTGGACTTGGTGATGCTCCAACTTGTTGTTGGTCACATACCAAAATAGTTTTTCAAGATGATGCAAAATTAAATCTGACATGTTACCATTAGTTATAAAACTGAGAAAATTAAGTATATGGAAGTTATCATCCAGAATTGTGAAAAAATATTCCTTTCTTAGGGTAGTGTAGTAACCAGTATAAAGTTTAAAAGCATATGTTCTTAACTTTTTTTTCCTGCGTTGCTTTTATTTTTTAGTAGTTGAAAAAATGCTAATTTTACATTTTTACTTCAGTAAAAAAAACTTAAGTTATTAACTTAAGGAAGCTTCTACAAAAGTTTTTTTAAACAGAAGGATTTCTTCTTCTACTTGAGTCATAAACTTTACTACTTTTCACAGCTCTGCTAAAAACAAATATATAAATCAAAGATGTTATAAAGCAACTCTAACAAAAAAAAAATTTAAACCAGTAAGAAAGATTATATTTCAGTTGTTCCTAAAAAAAAACATACTAAAGTTCATAAATTAAAAATAACAGTACAATAATATTACATGTACTGGAAGTGTTGCTTCCCTCTCACGTGTTAGAGCTAAATTTGCTAACACTTGTGTATAATCTTCTCTCTCGGCCCATATGTAATTTATGTCTTTAATGGAAGTTTTTTACCTCCCTCCCTGTCATTACACTGCATGTAAATGCCAGTCTCCTACACTGAAGGGAGTTTTGAGTTAGCCTCTCCAGAAATACGACTCTCATGCTGCCAGCCACATGCAGCCTCCCGCCCCTCTGTGGAATATAGACCTCCTATTTATAGAGCTGGCAAAGGCCTGGTTGAGCCTGCGCTCTTCACAAACCTTTCATTTAAACAGTCACCCATAGCAGCCCACCAAATGCACAGTGACACACAGACAGAAGGAACAGGATGTGCCTGCGCAGGTAGAGAGAAGTGAAAAGTATAAACTAGGAGAAGCTTAAAGGGGACTGGATGAACAAGCCAAAGAGCAAGGAAAAATCTGATGGGCAACTGAAGGCCTACTGGACTTGATTGGCACAACGATAAACTTTTCCACCTGTTATTATGGAGACCTATTGTGGAAGACCGATGTCTGGATAAAACTCTTAAAGGAGTCAAACTGGAAAGGAAACTTTTTTTTTTTAATGGACAACACCAAGACAAGACAGTAAGCAGGACTAAATTGAAACTTTAGTGGACATCTGCTGTATTATGTAAGACAAAGAAAAATATGGTTTATTCAGTGCTTTTTTAAATGACTTTTCAGCACTCGATATAAATATCATTTAAGGACTTGTGTGTCAGTAAAAAAGCACATTTTAACTTTTTTGCTCTGTGAAAACTGACTGAGAAACATCAACACATCTGTCTGTAAATGTAACCTGATTTAAAGCATGCTGCTTTAATTACAAGGCAAGTTCAGACATTTGTAATTAGTGGTCATCTTTAAGAGCAAACCAAGAAAAGGGTGAGGTCCATGTGAGAAAGGAGAGTAGGCCGTAAGAACACCAACACTAAGTCAAAGAATATTCCAGAGGAAGACATCAAGGTCTCAAAGGCTCATCAACGTTATGGATCCTAATGGGGGACATTACCTCAACAAGGACGCTGTGCTGTCACCTTTAGGTGCAGCCCGAATATGCCAGCTGGTACTTGGCTGCACCATAATCGCCCTGGTGTCCCACAGCGCAGGTTACAGTGCAAATTATGGGACTTTCTGCATGTTTGTTTGGTGCTTCTGCTTCACCATCACACTGGTCGTGTTCACCTTGGACATCACACGGCTCCACAGCTGCATGCCAATATCCTGGGATAACTTCACTGTGGCCTTCGCCATGTTAGCAACACTCATGTACATCACTGCTTCTGTGGTCTACCCGGTTTACTTTCTGCAAACAGATTACGCTGATGAGGACTATGAAGTTCAAATCTACCGCATTTCTGTCACAGTCTGTTCCAGTGTTTGCTGCTTCCCGTATGGAGCCGAGGTAATTCTGACCAGAGCAAAACCAGGAGCTGTGGTGGGCTACATGGCCACAGTGTCTGGTCTACTCAAGGTGGTCCAGGGTTTTGTGGCCTGCATTATTTTTGGGGCTCTTGCTAATGACAGTGAGTACAACCAGTACATTGCCACCCAATATTGTGTGGTGGTGTACAGCCTTTGTTTTTCTCTGACGGTGATCGTCATCATATTGACGGTGTCTGGAAGAACGTCAGCCCTGAGGTTCCCCTTTGATCGTTTTGTGGTCGTCTACACGTTCTTTGCTGTGATCCTCTACCTCAGTACCGCACTGATCTGGCCCATCTTCAGCTTTGATAAAAAGTACGGCAGCACTGCTCGTCCTGAGGACTGTCCACGTGGTGAATGTCCCTGGGATAGTAAGCTGGTTGTGACAGTCTTTACATGTGTCAACCTAGTGTTATATTTTACTGATCTTGTTTACTCCCAGAGGATTCGCTTTGTCTCAAGCTCTGCTGTCTAAAATACAAAAAAAAAACAATGTTTTCCAGATTTTGTGAAGGACATAACATAATAGTATTATATGTGAGAAATATCTTACATTTACAAGGCAGTATTAAATATATTACTTTGTGCAATTGCCTCTGGTTTGGGTCTGTACATGTACAGCCTACTAGACTTTGTCAGTCTTACAAAGACTGAGCGATTTATTTATTGATTTTTAATCTTTAAGTAGAAGTAAAATGCATCTTATTGATGTATCTAGTATGTAAAGTTGTTAGTGCTTAAAAATGTTTGTTTATTTCTTTATAAATGCCATATTGTGTTAGTTACAGGATAACTGGTTTGTTATTTTTGACAGAAATGTAAATGTAGGGGATAAAATGAAAAATGAACCCATTTGTCTAAAATATAAAGTTGTTTTTTTCTGTTTCTCTACATTATGAGCACTGAATGAGTGTAGCATTCTTTATCTTCATGTTTTTAATATTCGCCATGTTCAATAAAATGTCCAAACACATGCCATGTTTCAATCAATTCAATGGCTCATCAGGTTAAATGATAAATGGTTTATCACATACATAATTTTCATCTTTGTTATTATTTATATAACACTTGTGGGGAGAGACTGGAAAAAAAAAACTTTGGTACTGATGGTTCAAGTCAGAAAATGTAAATCACATGGCAAAACAAGCCATTATTTGACAAAGTAAAAAAATTTAATTTAAGTTATTGGATTATTTTACAATCATGTCAAGTCATCTAATAAATTCTACTTTAGCAGCTACCTATCAAGGTAAACCTTTGGCTTCAGAACTCGGACTGTTTTATTTATAACATTGAATTTGAGCTGGCCAAATTAAATGTTTGTACAAATCATTTGCAAACTAAATACTGTATAAACAAATTAATTGTGATGTAGATTTTATAGCTTTGACGCTACACAATCATGTTATTTTCAACAGCAGTGTTCAGAGAAAAAGATTCTGATGTCAGCCTTAACAAACTGCACTGGAGAACCAAACTGGAAACAATGTGGGTGGCAACATCTGCTGTTACTTATCTCAAACTTAAAAATAAATATGAGTTTAGAAATTACATTAAGCCCAACTGCACTGAATTTTAATTCATTTTAGCTTTGCCAATGAACATGACCAATGTAGTGGCTATTAGTCACATGAGGTAAATAGGATTTATTTATTTATCCATCCATCCATCAACTTAGACTCTTAGACTTGTTTTGCAGACTAGAAAGCAGAGTGGTAGTTTAACACACATTTCTCTGCAGCTTTTCTACTATAACCCACCTGTTTCGCCATTCAGAAAGCCTCTTGCCCAGATCCAAGATCAAATAAACTACAAAATAATCCTACAGAAGTAAATCATGATAATGTAATTGAAATTAACCTTACTCCAATAAAGCAAAACAGTAAAACAATTACTGTAGTTTACTGAAAATAAGATATCTCTCCTAAAAAGAGTGTGTTGGTTAATGGATTAATTTGTAAGAATCTGATTGATTTATGTTGACTTACAGAAACCTGGCTGCAGAAAGATAATCATGTTAATCAGGATAAGTAGGGCAACTCACTCCAGCAATTTAAAATTTAACATCACCAACAATCTTTCAGTGGGGTTTACTGATTGGTCATAAGTAAGTCAATAGTTACAATTATTTTAAACATTTAACCATTAGTTACTTCAGCCAAATTGTAAAGCATCAAAACGACCTCTGTTGGTATATTTTTATTGTCCACTGGGACCTTATTTTTAAGATCAGTTCAGACTTTGTATCTGATTTAGTGTCAAATACTGACAAGCTCAAAACAGTAGGCAATCTTAAGATACATGCCTACCATTAAGGGGATAACTTAAATGCAGCCTTTAATGCTATCATAGATTTAATTGGCTTTGTTCAAAACGTCCATAGTCCCACACATTCTCATTGTCATACTTTGGATCTTGTTACATATGGCACTGATTGTGAAGAAATAAAAACATTTCCTCAAAACCCTGTCCAATATGACCCCTTTTTAGTAAGCATCAAACTTTATTTTTTTTTTCCCTTCACAAATTTATCATTTTGTTGATGGGGTTGCTTCTTCTCTGCTCACCACTTTAGACACTTAACTCCTTTGAAAAATAAATACTTTAATAATAGGATGGTGACTCACAGCTTTAATTTAGAGCTACAATTGATCAGGAAAAAACAATTCACTGCTGTTTACAATTACCCTTTTTAAAGCAAGAGCAGCATATTTGACTTGAATGAAATGTGAGAAAAAAGAATAATCATAGCTCTGAAAAAGTACTGATGGACGTTACTAATGATATGGTATGTAGTCCCGTTAAATTTCTATGGGAATTAAGGGAACCGCACTGGCCTGGAATCAACTTTATTTGACTGGAATTGTCATAACTAGTCATTTGAATCACATATTAAATAAGTTTCTAGAATATTCTTCTTACATTTATGGAATATTGCAAACAGAACTATCTAAGGGGGGAAGCTGACAAACTAGTCCATGCATTACTTCAAGCAAGGCTTGACTGCTGCAATTCTTTACAGTCAGCAAGTTTACTAAATGTTGTCTAATGCCTTTAGCTGACCCAAATCATTGCAGAAAATGGTGGAGTCAGAAAAATTGTATAGGTGTAGCCAGGCAGGGACTAATGTTCACTAATGGGTGGTTGAAAACGAATAGGCGTAAAAACCAGTTCAGGGTTAATCTGCACTACTCATACCATACCAGCAGGAAAACAAACAGGCCCAAAATCTGTATTTTCCAAATCAATTACTGAGGACAGACTAGATTTTCATCAAGCTCTTCTAATGAATAACCCATACAAATACATATATGCTGTCTAAATTAAGAAATCCATGATTCTGTTTAACATACTCAATAAATTGAACAGTTGTTCTTTAAATGTAATTACAAAGGAGACTCCCGAACATTGACTGTTTTAGACAAAATGTTTAGGGTGGGGCCTGTGTCTTCTAATGAAGGCACAGAGCAAAAGAATTTAAAAAAGCAAAAAAATGACAAAGACAAGTCAAAAAGGGTAGGAGTTCATTTAGTATAACAACCCAAAAAGCAAAGATTACAGGCTCCTGTTTTAACAGATTAAGTTGTGATCCTATCTTAGTGTGACTGAAGCTTAAAGCCATGCTACCTTTAAATAGTTTTTAAATTGTAGTACAAATTATTAGTAAGAATTAACATTATGATAGTCCAAGGGACAAATGAGTTACAGTCTTTTCTTTCATATCATCACGTGAAATTAATTTACCACTACACTACAAACAATTATCTAAAAAAGAAGATATTTCTTAGACCATTTGCACTTAATTTAAGTAGGTAATTATAAAGATCTGTCAAAATATTAATTATTTTTTGTGTTAAGATTAAGATAATTAGATATGCACCTGAATTAAGTTTATGGGTGTGTTTTTTTTTTTTATTCATTTTAAGCATAAACCGTCTTATTGCATTGGCAAATTGTCTAACTGACCTGCTCCAATAAAGGGAAAATTTACTTATTTCAGGAATCTGTGTATTATGTATATTACAATTTTTGCAATGTATGTTTTCAGTACAGGGGCCATACCAGGGGCCATGACCCCTGGTATGGCACTGGCCCCTGTTAGAACTGCCTATGCTCCTAGATGAGTTGAAACTCTCCCTTGCTCTGCCTTTATATGGACATCATTACACATTTGGATGATGCTTGTCACAATAGAACTACAGCCTTCCAGAAGAGAACTACAAAAAAAGTTAAACAAATATTGGCCAACAGCTGAAGCTCTCCATTGTAAAACCCAATGCATATATAAGATGCTTATATTTGCATGTGCCACAAGCAGTACATGTCAAGAAATAATGAAATCTGTGAAATGGCCCTTCTGATAATCACAGTTATCAGAAGACCACTCTGTTCTGTGATTCAATCAGCCGATACCGATACTATACCGATACCGTCTGTTTGAACTTGACGTGTGTGTGTATATAAGAAGAACTGCATACTACTTGGATGTAAAATAATTGCCATCACGGCTTTGTCAAGCTGCTGCCTACCTTTGTGAAGCAGGAAAAAAGACTATTACAAAGTCAATCCAGTAGAACTTTTTATTGCCAACCTGGAATGGGTGACCATAGTTGAATAAACTTTTGGCTCTCAAAATGGTATCGGTGCCCTATTTGTTGGTACTCCCCGATACCAATACCAAAATTTTAGTGCTGGAACAGAGCCTTGGCCGATACTGGTATCGGTGCAACACTAGTGTATAATACAAAAAAGCATAAGAAAAGTTGTAATGTCTTGGAATATGTTTCCTTTAGATATAAAAAAATATCTGCACAGTAAAGAGCTAAGAAAAGACTACTTGCATTGCTAAGATGTACTGACATATAAATAAGAAAAAGTTATAAAGTAGAAAAAGAATATATATATATATACATATATAGAGAGGTCAACTGAGTTATATTGATTAAATGAAAGTATTATGTTGTAATTTCTAAAAATACATACTTTAATATTTAGGTCATATGCACTGTGATACAAACCTACACAATTGGCTCCTCAGCTTTCCAAATCCCGCTCATTCAGCTCGATGATTGGTTAAGCTTGTTACGTATTGGCCAAACTTGAAGCTCATTGGCGGATTCTTCATGTCAGTCACTGCTCTTTTCACAGGTAGATACAGGAAGTAGGGAGAAAACCAGAACACGCAGGCCGTGGAGCCCTACCGTTTTTCTTTAGTTGTATCAATTTAAAGGACCCTCTCTTTTTTATAAGTGCATTTTCCCCTTTGAAGGTACTTTCTGCCCAAAATACGATTTTAATCACCACGTGACGTCATTCGTCCGGATAACAGGAAGTACGAGTTTGTTTACTAACTCAGGAAGACACGCATGATTGGGAGACGGAGAAAAACGAGGGAAACCACAATGAAAATCAGCGACTAAAATTGCTTCTGTTTCCAGGCATAATGAGTGTGGGATTCATTGGAGCAGGCCAGCTGGCGCAGGCTCTGGTGAGGGGCTTCTCGGTTGCAGGTATATTGAGACTTTCAACAGGTTTTGACACGTGAACATAGCAGGGGTGCACTAAAATTGTTTCCGTACATGTGTCTCCTCTAAGGTGTCATCGCCACCCACAGGATCACAGCCAGCTCTCCAGACACTGAACTCCCCACAGTGCAGCAGCTCCGGGTGGGGTACACTGTTATAGACGCCAATGGGCATGCTGTCAACAGTCTATTAATTTTAGACATTTAATTATGCATCTGAACTGGTTATTTTAACTCCAGGGTAGTGATTATTAATCAAATATTTATCGTTATTTAAAACAGCCAATGGGTAAACAAGTTAGAATTTATATAGTATATTTTTTTTTAACAAAACAGGATGAAAATTATATGTAAAGTGTAATTATAGACATATTTTTCTGATGATATTTAGTTAAAGTCCAGGACAGGTCATATTTAAACCTACTTGATAGTTTACCTCTGTTATAAGAAATGACCTAAACGCTTTTTAAATAGTTTCAGTCTCTGTTTTTAGCGACAGCTGATCCATTTTTCGGTGAAATTTAGGTTGAGGCATTCCAGAAGTTCAATGTTTTGTTCTGTTAATGTGTGTTTAAGCCAGATATTCCCATATACCAAACATCTGGCATTTGATTTAAGGTCTCTCTAAATGTTGAGATATTTCTTGATTATTTTTGCCCCAATTGTGTATTGCCTAAGCCTAGATGTGTTTTTTTTTTTCACCATTTTTTGATCATGCAAATTGCAGTAAATTCATCCAACTTTTGTTGAATCTATTGAGTGCAATCATCATCAGGAAATCCTATATTCACCCTTAAAAGGGAATTCAGTGAAATACTTTGAAAATCAAAATTTCAAGCCAATACTTAGTTATTGGAATCCAGAACAAGACCTTATTACCTTTGTAACATAAAAAAAATATGGACATTTTGATGGCAAAAAAATAATTTCAATGCAATAACAAGGAACGCCAACTTGCCTGAATACATTAAGAAAAATAACAAAAGAAATTAATGAATAACACTCTGAGAGGGAAAGAAACACATTTTTTTTGGTACAACATAACCTTAGAGGTATTAATGCTGATACTGGCACTTTCATTTTTTACTTTATAAACCTAAATAGAATTGTTAACCAGGCTTATTAACTTTTTTTACTTTTCAATTAGCTTTTTACCTTTTTTTCCTTTTTTTCAACTTAATTTACAGTAGGTAAATATATCATTCAAGGGCTCATCTAATAGGTCAAATGCCAAAGTGAGATGTACAGCCATGTAGCAGTATCTTTGCTGAATGGCTGGATATAGATCTTGTGCTTCTAGACCTCACTGAGGGACGGGGGGGATCCATTTGTAAGGGGTATGCAAGTGATCAAAAATGGTAACTTGCCCTATAAATATAATACTTTTGCTAATGATGAGTGTATATTAGGGTTCTGACCACAACTTTGCGTTTTCATTTGCTTTTTTAAACATATAAAAATTCTTAATGTACAAATGCTTAAGCTTTCCTGTTTTTGACATGTGTAGAAGATGGGTGTGAACTTCACCACCAGCAACAAGGAGACAGTGAACAAAAGTGACGTCCTTTTCCTGGCTGTCAAACCCCACATCATCCCTTTTGTTCTTGATGAGATCGGGCCAGATATTGAAGATCGCCACCTAATTGTTTCATGTGCTGCAGGTGTTACTATCAGCTCCATAGAGAAGGAAAGTCACAGTTGTGGCATTTTTCCCCCCCTTACTCATAATGAGTTAATAATAACTAGTTCTTGACAATTCTGTTGTTGGTTTACAGAAACTGCAGCAATACCGGAGTTCTCCAAAAGTAATGCGCTGCATGACCAACACTCCGGTGGTGGTGCGGGAAGGAGCCACCGTCTACGCCACAGGTACACATGCAGAGGTGGAGGATGGGAAGCTTCTGGAACAGCTGATGGCGAGTGTTGGTTACTGCACTGAGGTGGAGGAGGACCTGATTGATGCTGTCACAGGCCTGAGTGGCAGTGGACCTGCCTATGTGAGCTCATTCTGCTTTACAGCCTCCAGTTCATCTAAAAAAATACTTTGATATTGGCAAAATCGCCTTATAACTGTTGTTATACTTGCGATCTTGCAGGCATTCCTAGCTGTGGACGCACTTGCTGATGGTGGAGTAAAAATGGGCCTGCCGAGGAGGCTGGCTGTACGCCTCGGAGCACAAGCCCTGCTGGTAGGACGCCAGACGTGACACTAAAACCCATTATAGTTATGATAACAAAATACACCTGCTCAACACCAATCTTATCTATACTTTGCTACATGAGGAAATGCTCGTAAACATGTTTTTTTATTTTTATTTTCCTATCGTTCCATTTATTATTAAAATCCATTTTTAAAGATTTGGCTCTCAGGTTTTCTAAATCCTATAAATGATGTGCTCTATAGGGCCAACCTCATATCTTAGTTTTGTTATTGTGAATAATGCCTTAAGTATATGAGAAGTACTGAATGTTTTCTACTGAGATAAAACGTTGGATCATAGTGTCTTCTAAAAGTGTTCATGCCCCTTCAATTTTCCACCACTTGTAAGTGTTTTACCGAAACATTCAATGTATTTTATTGACTGTTTATAGACCATAACATCATAAGGCATTACATAATTGAAAAATAGAAAATAGTTTATTTCTCAATGCAAATATGAAATTAGTTGTTTCCATGTGTATTTTAGCACCCTTTTACTATGATACCCTAAATAAAATCAGTCTCACCAACTGCCTTCAGATGTAATGCTTCTAAATAATTCTTTAATATGTAATTTAATCTATTTTGTCTCTTCTATGAAGGCCTCTGAGACTTGTTCTGAACAAACAGAATCAAAGAGCAAGAGGGATCAGAATTATCTACCTAATAAAACAATAACCAATAATTTGGTCCTCTTATGGAGCACTGTTCAATAGAAAAATGAAAACAGCTTCGGATCTACCAAGACACACCAATACTGATTGGCTGGACAGTGAAAAATAATCTGAGGAACTGGTAGCAGGCTGTTGCACTGGAGGAGCTCCAATCCCACAGCTCCAGAGGGGGAATCAACGTATGAAGTTGTGCACATTTGGGATTTATCCAGTTATTGAAAGAAAAGCCATTTTTAATAGAAAGTCTGAAAAGTTTCTGCTGAAAGTTTTCCACAAGTAAATGCTTAGCTCAGATGAAGCAGCATGGGCTATACATGGAAAATCCCTTTTTGTTGTAAAGCTAGATGCATATTACTCTGAGCAGACAATCACCTCAGGGAAGCATGGTGGTGGCTGCATTATTCTGTGGGGATACCTTTGTTCAGCATGGACCTGGACGATATTTGTGTATGGGAAGACGGTTGTCATTAAATACAGATTATCCTAGAAGAAAGCCTTTATAAAAGATGCAGAAGACTTAGTAATGTGGCTAAGGTTGACCCCTCAGCAAGGCAGTCGCCCTAAATATACCTCTGAGCTGAGGAGCCATTGGTTAAAATATAAAATGTGTGCATAAAGGGAATTAAACTAGAAATAGTTTACAAGTCACTGTGGGCTTTCACTTCTGTCTCTATTGCAATGGAAGCAGTACATGTGTATTTACTGGGTATGAAAAAGACCATTTTTTGCAGTTTTTATTTCCAGTGTGCATCTTTAGCCTGTCTTTACTTACAGCAGACAAATTAAAAGCTTGTTTTTTTTAATATAATATTCTTATTTTTTTCTGTTATTTTAAAGGGTGCAGCTCGAATGCTGCTGGACTCAGAGCAACACCCTGGGCAGCTTAAAGACAATGTTTGCTCACCAGGGGGCGCCACCATCCATGCCCTTCATGTCATGGAAAGTGGTGGCTTTCGAAGCCTCCTCATAAATGCTGTAGAGGCCTCTTGTGTAAGAACGAGGTAGGTTGATGAGACTCATGGGTATCAGAAACTATTTCAATTTTTTTTCCAATCACATGCATGTACCAAAAATGCAATTATTAATTAATCACTTGTGATGTAAAATGAACTTTGGACAGCAGATGGAGCTATACGCTGATGTATTTCAAACATTAGTTTATGTTTTCCTGTTTTTCAGTTGACTGATCTCATACATTATTTAAAGCTATTTCATATCTTTTAAAAGGGAACTTCAGTTTTTGGCTGACCAAGAGAAGATCTCTTCAGCTGCCATCAAGAAAACCACCCTGGATAAAGTTCTTCAGCAGCCAGGAGTCACTGCAGAAACTGTCAGTGTCAGAAATCGTGGGATCAGTATGTTTAACAGCTCTAATCCTAAGATCAAGAAGAACTGAATCCATTTTAAAAGGGCCCCTTTGCAGCATTGTATGTACAGTCAGAAAAAAACACTGTTTAAGAAAACAAACCTGTCATAGAATACTGTTAAGTTCTCACTTCAGGGAGATAAAAGCGGATTTATGCCAAGACTACAGGCAAAATATGTGAGCAATAACTTTTGTGGGGATTTTTTCATTTGTTTCCTCGGTAGTAAAATAAAGTCAACATTTGGTGGGGAAACTTTTTTTTTATTATTTCATATAATATACATCTTTCTTGTGAAATGTATCAGCAAATATCTTACTTTGTAAAGTAAATATTTTTGCTCTACCAAGATTGTTCTTATATTTAAAAAGGGTGCTAAATACAAGATAATCCTGGGGGGGAAAAAACTCTTTATGGCTACAGAAGACATGGGATTTAGAAGGAAGTTCATATTCCAAACTTAACATAAAGATGAAGCTAAAATGTGATTTAGAAAATTCAGTTCAATTCAGCCAACTCCCATGTCAGAGGATAAAGAGAGCACATCCAGCCAGTCACAGTCAGAGAAACAGGACACTGGAAAAACAGGCCGATCTCCAACATCTATGAACAGAGGTGTCGATGGAAGCAGCACAGCTGATATTTCTCTCCAGGGTGGTGCCAGAGCCAAACAGGAACAGATGAGGCCAAGCTTCTATGAGAAAAGGCAGAGAGAGCATAACGTTAGAGATTGAACTAACAGATTCTGCAGAGTGGGAGAATGGAGATAGAATGAAGCTGAATGATAGTGGTCCCTATGTCCTCCAGAAGTCTAAGCCTATAGCAGCATAACTATAGAGGTAACTATAAGTTTTATCAAAAAGGAAAGTTTTATAAAGCACAAATGAGTTGTAAAAGGCTTATTTTTTGTTGCCTGCTACCTAATAGAAAGATGTTTGAGGCATTTTGCACAAAAAATTTCCAGATGTACTCCAAAAACCACAAAATCTTTGAAACACAAACTACTTACTGATTCTTCAAGCCATTGGTTGTGTTTTATTTTAATTAAAGGGATAAAGTGGGTAATTCACACCACCCTTTTCAATGTGGACAAAAATATTGAATGTTTTCTACTTCAGTGATCAGTTTGAAATGACTGAATGGGAATGTTTTCCCCTTTAGTTTTAAATCTTCTATGTTTGTGTGTTTAAGTATACCGTAACAAACTCTTACAGGAAGTCAGTTAATTTACTTTTTAAGTTTTACTGTTAATTAAAAAACAGTACAATAAGTTTTGGTTACGAATCTATTTCAAATCTATTTTTAAAACATGTTTTGATTTGGTGATGAAATTATAAGATGGAATTTTTAAGAAAATTAATTTAAATGCAATTTTAAAGAAAATAATACATTTTAATGTCTCAATTTTATAAAGTAAAGGTTGCCGATGAAAACTAACCTTGTTCATATAACCATACGTGTTAAGTGTTTTAAAATATTTAGATGTTTTGTGTTCTTTTGAGGAAACTATACCTTTCATGAATGAAGGCACGTGACCAAACACGATGACGTCAGGCTCCGATACAAGAAAGCAATCAGTGACAAGGAGGGCATGAGCTGATATCTGGAAATAGCTGCTTTTGTTTTGTTTTTTTTACTTGCTTAAACCAAATTCCTATTTATCTGTAATGCTCGGTTTCCCTCACCGAGGCTTGAGAAGAGGAGTCCAGCAGCTCTGATTTCATCGTTTTAAATTCAGGTGGGTCCTGAAAGCTCTTGTTGTGCTGAGTGTGCAGAGATGTGTTAGCAAAGCTAGCTCGTCAAGCTAACCTCCTTAGCTCATCGGAGCGGATTTTCAAAATAAAATATCCGCTTTACTCCAGCTTTTTAAACACAATGTAACCTGCTGAGTAGAGTTTTATTTTGAAAATGGAAACCTGACATGTTTAGAGGGCGAAAGCTTTGCTGTGACTGGTGGGCTAAATCTTTTGTACACTCGTAAACGTTAAAAACATGATAGCCCAGATGTTGTTTTCGGTCGTTCCGCATCTGGCGGGCTGCTTCCCTTCCATCTAGGAATGGCACGCGGCGCCACGGTGGTAACGTGCAGGCAGAGGCTCGGGGATTTCCTCGCTCGCTCGCTTGTTTTTGTAGGCGGGGAGTTGTTTGCCACTTTCGCACAAGCAGGGCGCCGAAGGGTTGAGTCGCGGAATGTCAGGAGATCTTAACCAGCGTGTAACCTGCGCAGGTTTTTACTCGTAATTAGTTTGTTATTACGCCCGGTCCGCCGTGTCCGCGCGCCTCTCCGTGGGGTTTGTCAACTCATGCGCTTCTCGCTGCTCAAACCTGCTGCTTCATCACCTCGTTGTGCGAAGAAGCCGAGCCGAATCAGCGGTGCAGCCAGATCAGGTTGGTTGCAGCGTGTCCTTTTAATGACATTTTTATTTTATTTCTTTGTGCAGTTATTAGATGTGCGATCATAATGTCGCTTTTGTGCGTCTTTTGTGCATGCATGGATTTGATCTTCCACCATCCCCTTTTTTGTTGTTGTATTGAATTGCTTCACCTGGATTGCCAATCTGATTCATTTTAATCACTTATTAAAATCTGCAACAGCAAATCCCAAATAATCTGTTCTGAATCTCTCCTCCTCAAAAACCAAACTATCAAAGCAGCGATATGCATTTATATTTATCATGCTGAATCATCACAATGATGTATTTAGGCGCTCTCTCAGTCAGAATCCACCCAGAAACATGGCACCACCGGACAAAGGTCTCCTCGCCAGATGAGGGTCGATGTTTATCACAGAGCCCGTCGTTATTTGTAGCAGGAGGAGGAGGATGGAGATCTGGTTGCTGATCTCTCATCATGATGGCCATCATGCGATCAGCATCAGGTGATGACCCATCATGCAATCTATCAATAGCTTTATCGACATTCCACTGAGAAATGTGGATTTTTATTGCAGTAAAGCAACAAACGCATTTATTCAAAGTGATTTTGATATTGCACAATAAGCAAATATTATTATGTGGGATATTTAAATAAATGGATGTTTTTTTATTGATTTATTCTAAAAACCCACTTCAAAGTGAATGTGTCTATTAATAAAATAGACATGATGCAAATAGATGTGCCTCCCTTATGATTTATTTTAAATGTTTGCAAATCCTAATTGCACTAATTTTGGGATGACAGATGCTCTTGTTTCCCTGAGTGTGACATGATGAAATTTGCTGCCTATTAGAGCTTATAGAGGGTTGCAGGTAATGAATTATCCATGCATAGTCTCTGTGCAATTTGAAAAGTCACCTTGGAAACTGTTGAGCACACATAGAGAGGGCTAAAACACATACAAGTTGCCCGTTCTTGCTCCAATATCCAACTTATTTCATCATCTCCGTTCATGCAAGAAAAAAAAGAAAAGAAAGGGGGGCAGGGGAGCACATTGAAGTGTGTTTAGCAGACAGGGCAACCCTACATCAGAAGCTCGGCTTTGCAATAAAATGTAATGCCCCTTGCCCTGTCTCTCCCTACAGGTAACGAGGAAAGATGATGTCCATATAAGTGTCTGATGGAGGCTTAGATTTATTTCCCTTTTTGTTGAGCTTGTGAGGGGAAAAAAAATAAAGCGAGGTATTGTAGAGGTGAACTGAGTGCACAACCCATACCCAGTGGCGATGCTCGAACTGGGCAGGCAGCGGAGAGTGGAAGAGGATATGTGAGGTTGATGAAACACGAAGCAAGACTTAGCTCTGCATAGAGGTACAGTCTGGCCACCAACACCACTGCACAGCCAACTCAGCTGCGCTTTGGGAGTCGTTACGCCTATTCAGGACAATTATTAGCCTCCAGAAAGGAACACAAATGCAGGATTTGTCCACAAAAGTGCTGCTTAAGCTGCACAGGGAAATAGAAATGCCTTGGAGGAAGCAAGGGAAAAGATCAATATATTTCTTTTTCTGCCCTCCCTATTTTTTTTTTTTTTTGGAATAAGGAGGAAATGTTGGTGATGAAACCTCTTGCAAGTGTGGTGCGGATTAGGATTGCTAAGCATTGCGATATGCCCCCCCACCCCTTCACCCCTCAAAGTAATACTTTCATCCAGATAGAGTTAAAAAAGTGTGTTTGATGGATTTCTTGGAGCTTGACTTAGACATGCCGGGTTCATTAGTGTTTACTCTGAATCTAGTGGAGTAAACGTGATGAGCATAAGCGTGTGTCTGTTTTTCATGGCTGGCCTTTTATTCTTGATCTTTGCTAAATTCTTTGAGGAACAGATCAGTGTTAAACACTTTTGGGGAAGCGAGTTATTTAGAAAAGAATACACACAATGCTGCTAAAAATAAAGCCCAAATAACTAGTGAATTACTCAAAGTTAGTCTTCTTCGATTTTTTTCCAGATGTTTAAAGAGTGTCTAATCAGCGCCTTGCTGGATGTGTTTCACCCTTTCAGAGGGTTGTGGAGGCTTCTTTTAGAATTACCCCATTAATTCATTATGTTCAAAATCACATTATATCAATTTTATTGACCAGTAGTAATTACTTTTTTCTTTCAGGGCTTACCTACCAACTTTTTCCACTGTGTCTGGTTACTTTTATTTATTTAAGTATGGAATTAAAATGAAAATAAAGGAATTGCAACACCTCCATTTGTGCGTCAAAGCGTTGCATTAGTCTTGTATTAAATTAAAAAAGGTTTTTCGAAGCAAATGCTAGCGATTGATCAGTGTATGCACTGGAAAGGAATTAATAAAATTAAACAAGATATATGACCCAATGATCTAAAATTAGTTGCAATTAATTTCTCTGATTAATCTTTGTTATTTTTATTGTGTGTTTGATGGAAGAGCTCCATCTAATTCAATTTTAATTAGAAAGTTTTTTTTTTAATCTAATGTGCCAAAGTCTTTGTGTGAGGATTACATGAATGTGACCTCAGATCTGTCTCCTATAAGAATAACATACAGTTGCTATGAAAGAGGAAATTTTATCAAAAAGAAATAATGAATATCACTGTTATACCTATTATTTTTCAAAAGTTAAAAGGATCTGAAAGACTGAGAACTGTTGGAATTTGTTAGTTTTGATACATTTAATAAAAAAAAAATTAAAAAAAACTTTCTAATAAACCTAAATATTTCAGATTCTAAACTCTGGAATCAGTTATTAAACTGATATAAACTGCCTCAAGTAAATTTGTTTTGCTTGAAATGTTTGATTGGATAAAGGTCTTTCGAGAGTACTTGAAAGCAGAGTTTCCCCAAACTTTTCGGTTTCAAACTCCCCAAATGTTACCTAAATTTGCCCATGAACCAAAGTGTTGGTGGTAAAATCTATTAAGCAGAGGTATAATGTTAATAAAAGCAACATAGAAAACAATACATTTGTTGTTCTTTTTGTGCATCTAATTGGGTTTCCCATTTCTTTAAATAGAGAAATACGCTTCATTATTATCATATTCATATTTAGCTGACTTTGTGTAGAGGACCTCAAAACCCAGTAATTACTTACGTATCTTCGATACCAAGTGGGGCCACCATAGAAATCAATGATTTAAGGTTTATATGAGATTGAGAATTTTTGTACATTATGTTTCATTAAATTAAGTTCTTAAAAAATACTTTAAATCTGTCAAAATATATGATTTGTTCCAGCTAATTTTATGTAATTAGGTGTTCATGTTGCACGATAACCTGAAGGCAGACGTAGTTAATCTCTTGCGTGTTTTGATTATTCTTTTGCTTTTGTTTTTTTGTAGAAACTCAGTGCGTTTAATCTTGTAGAATAAAAGAAGAAAGCAAGAAAAAACATGAAAAGCTGATTAGTTTTCTTGCCTTTATTATTTAATGAGGCATCAAAGCTTGTATTAACCAAAATGTTATATATAGGATTATGTAATCCCCAATTTGAAGTGCTAAAAATTATACTAATCTGGTCAGAATTTGTGTTGTTTGGTCAATGCATAATATTTTTCCAAAATGCAGAGCTGAAGTAAGCAGAAAGGTTTACCTTTTTGTCAAAGCTGGTTGCCCTAAACATTTACTTATTTTGCTAGAATATCACAAGCTATTCTCTTCCTGTTAAAGCGAGTCCTCCAGGCAGATGCTGCTAACGGTCCAGAGTCTCCTCTCCTGGCCTGCTGCTCGTACTGACGGAGCAACTCGGAGAGTAAATAGTGGCGGCTGCAAATGGAAATAGGTTCTGTAAGACTAAACATCGGAGAGCACAAACTAGTCCTTTTAAATAAGCATCATTTTATCTGCAACTTTGGAAAATACAAACGTGCCCCAGAGGGCAGTGAGTCATGTGTTCACTTGAACTGGATGCAAGAGTCCTGATATATAAATGCGCTGCATGCTTTTCTATTCCATGCATGGAAGGAGCTTTTATATTTGTTTGTTTTTTTGGGCACTTCAGGTTAGCCTCCACTGTAATATCTCAATTGACATTTATTTCATTATTCAAACATGGAAAATATATCAGCAATCCTTGCAAATTCTTTTGATTGTTTAAGCTGCTCTCTCAGGTCCTCTATCACACCAATCCTTGGAATATCCTCCTTCACAACATCCATGCAGCATTTTATGTGCTTCTTTTTCTTTCCCTTCTCCATGACAGCTTCATACTCAACAGCCTTTCACCAATATGTCCACAAACCTGCCTCCGCACATGTCCAACCCGTCTCAGCCTTGCCTCTCTGACTTTATGTCAGAGCGGTCAAACTCAGATGCACCCCTGATATATACTCGCTGGAAATTCTGGCAAACTTTATTTCATTTCAAATTGTTTAATGTTTAAATATTATACTTTTGGAATCCCAATTAATAAAAATGAAAAGAAAGGATACCTGGATTCACAAGAGATGTAACAAATTGGTGAAAACGTATTTATTGTTTCCCCTTTAAATGTGCATCTTAAAATATCCCTTTGAAAAAAGTTGTATTATTTTACTGCTTTAACTCATATTAATCCTTAACAACTTATTTAAGAAGATGCTTTAACCTGATTATAAAACATTTTAATAACATACTACAAACACATATTTGTATTTATTTGTTAATGAAAAGAGATCTTTCATAGAAAGTAATGCAAACTTTTTTTTTCTCATGTGCAAAATCTGAAAACATTAATCTTTTAAATACATAACCGGCTCTGAATGGCTTAACTTAAAACATTTTTTTATTGATTTTGTAAATATTTATTTAAATATCAAATATTCTCTACTATTTTCCTCAATTTTGAGGAGTCATCATTAGTCTATATTGATAATATGCAAGCTGCTAAATGAATGGCCTGTGCTTTTACAGCATGGGATGAACCTGGAGGCTACAGGTAACCATGGAAACCATTGCTTTACCTCTGTGTTTGAAGGACGTATTGACAGGAAGACATAGTAATAACTT